ATAAGAACGTTCCTCGAGTTAATCAGCCTCGTATAAGGTCCAGGTTATCCCGCATGGTGTGCACAATGCCTCGGACGAGTTCGCGCATCCGTCGTAAGTGGATCTCTACCCGATGGGTCTTACGTGACAACAACGTTTAGATGGTTGCCGCGCGATAAGCCGGAGAAAACTAGATCTTCGACTATAATAAAGGTGGTTTGAAATCGCAGGCCCATCAAGACGAATCTCGCCAGCAAACAAGAGTCGCAATAAAGAATCATCAATGAGAAAGCTGACGAACCACGTAAAATCTGATCGCCATATTGCGAAAATCTTTTTGCACTGTATCGAATAGAAATTAAATATTCTTTTACGAGAGTCTATAAGAAAAGAAAGAAAGAAAAAATATTCTTTGTCACGGAAGCCATTAGTCTTTGATACGTTCGATATGCCCTTTTGCTCGATCATCGAATGAATAGTGAATCGAAATTGAAATATTGCCGCGCCTAACGTGCATATCATCTAGAAGGTGGTAGGAATTAAGTTAAATTCGTAGAAACGCGATTAGCCAGAAATGCTAATCGGCTCGGTCTTGAGAGGAAGAACCGCGTGTTGCGCCATGCGAAAATTAGAAAGGCACATGCACTACCAATTACGATCGTGCCTCTGTTCTCGGTCGTGAGTTTTCTACATACATAACGCGACGTCTTGCTGTTTACTTCGTTGTGTAAGTTGTTCGCGTCCAACGATTCCTTAATTACGGCAATTATATTATCGAATCGAATAGAAAATCGGAGGTAGAACGATCACAAACGAGCTATATACGAATACAAAAGATAGGACACGTGTTATCAAGTTTTAATGGCAAAAGGAAGCTTCGAATCGTCCTTTATCCGGCGAATAATGCGGTTTCGGTATCGCGCGACACTATACGTTTCTCCTTTTTCTCTGTACGGACGAAGCAGACTGCATGTACTTTCTTCGGCCTCGATCCCCTTGCGGGAACCTCGCTTACGTATCGCTTTCGCAATCGTTATTAGACGTTGTTGCGCAAGCAAGAGCGCTCTGTCCTATATGAAATATCGCCCGCATTCAATCTCAGCCGCGGATACGTTGTAATTAGCGTGCAAGACACTGCGTGGAAGCAGAGCCTCTAACGTACCGTGAATACGCGATATCGCGGCTCGCAGGACACGAGTGTCTGCAAAAATCCAGATGCCATTTCAGATAGGTGCTAGGAGATTCGCCACGGCGTTACACCGCTGCAACTTTACGGCAAGCTCACGACATACCAATCTTCGCCTTGGTCTGCCTCCAGTTATTCATCCGTGGCTGGCTTTTACATCGTATTAACGCTCCTCCTATAATAAGTCATGCGGCTGCTTATCGGCGCAACGATAGAAACCAAAACAGTGTTAACGATTTTCCTATTCGAAGATTCACGGATCGACGCGTCGATAAATCTTTCGATACAAATGCGTAATACATTGCGAAAAGGTAATTGCAGCATGAAAAGGTATCGAGAAATGATCTAATCGTTCGCTAACAGCAGATGTGCTGACAGATGGTCGGACTAAGGCCGTTCTGAAACACGCGCGCTACTACTCGCCTCGGGTCGGTATAATCAAGAGACTATAAACTAACTCGGTTAAATCTCTCCCCTTTATTTTTCACGTCACGGTAAACTTATTACTCTACAAGGATGTCCCGTAATCTATACATCCTGTTCTTCGTTTAATACTAATACCTCCCAGTCGCACTTATACTCGTGTACGGTAGAACAGTATCGACTTCTTACCGATCGCTGTCAATGTTCGACCACGTCCAACTTCCGTTGTTTTCAAAGACCTATGTTTATCGAGTTGCAGGTCACGTCTCGTTACGTCAGTCCTTTAACTCGACGACGAAACGTAGCATTGCCGGATTCCATGGAAAAACCTAACCCAACTGTTGCTACGCCAAACGCGCGTGTGTTATCTTTAATCTTCCATGACCGAGCGACGTGTGCTTCATCGAGAGTCAACGCGTACGCGTTCAGTGCCAACTCAATTAACGCGATTGCGACAACGATAAATCGTTTAACTTCTTTCCTACCTCTCCCTCTTTCTGCCTTCCACAGGCGTGTGGTTCGAATTAAGAAAATTGCCGGTATAATAGGAGACACGAACAAAGGAACTCGAAAATCCCTTTACAACGTCGGTTCATTGGCTAGAATCCATTAGAAAGCAACTAAAGAGTTTCTCCTATTATGAAATCTATTCACATTCGTTTCATGAATTACACCGTGTCCGTAGCGTTCGGAACAATCCGATTAAGTAAGTACGACAATCTTACGAACAAAGAGACGCGAGCTTAAATATAGCTATTTAGCAGCCGGGCTAAGTTTATCTTTATTGAGGTTTACGCTGGTCCCCGTCGACCTCGTTACTCCACGAAGTAAATTACTCGTGTCTCTAACAAACATCATCGTTTATCGCCATTTTTTATAATCGCAGTCCTCGGACCGCTTTTATCGTTAACAATTACCTTGTTTATGAGCGGGAATAAAAAGACCATAATTATTAACGATTAGTTTGGTTTTATACCAAATCCTGCATAAGTGTGCTTCTTGTATTTAAATATATCTTTGTAATCTGCTTTCACTGAACGGGTCACGCTGTATCTGTGTTTGTAAGTAAGTTGCATGCGATTACGCGAAGAAATACATAAGATGATACGTACACGGCGGCAAATGACGATTACTCCAACAGGATCGCGTGCTCCAGTAAGCTAACACGTTGCATTAGAGCTACTGCCTGCTCGGCTATCAACGTGTTACATACTTTGCACAAATACGCGATCGAATCATTTAGCGTTATTTACCGACTGATCGCGCGTATTATACAAACCTGCGAACGGATAGCCACAAGTTAATTGAATTAAAAATGGCAGACGTCTTCGTAAGTAGACGTAGAACTCGATCGTGAAAGAACAAGATTTTACATCGCAAAGAGATTAAGCGGATCTTGGTCGGACCAGTGGATTCTTCAACCAGTGATATTCGTTTTTACGCCTTGTACTTTAATCACCAGATAGATACCTGTTTGGCAAACGTTGCTTCGTCTACTACCTATAATTATCGCAATCTACGTACTTGGTCATTTTTAAATTTCTTATAATTAAATTCGAATATAAGAATTACTTTTTACTTGCAGAAATGTTCGACGATAGGATCGAATATGTATAGTCCCTGTGTATAGTCTATTCTAAAAAGGATCGGAGAACATTACGAAAACTGATCTGGTGAATGACATCGGTATTTCGGAACATGAGATAAGAAATGCCATAAGATAGCGAATCTATTCCGTAGCCCGGTTGGGATTCAAAATCGTGATGGTGTTGACAAGACGTGTCCATCGAGATAAATCATTGGCTCGACTCGGTTGGTCACGAGCGGTGACATGTTTCGTACCCCCCTATCAGGACGAGTCTATTAAATCTGCAACAGGACGGAATGTCTGCCACGGTCATTACCATTCCGCCAAGTCGTAAGTTATCTTCGCTGACAGTGGGCGCGCATAGAAATGTCTTCGGCCGTGATACCTCCTGACTTCTTCTTCTTCTTCTTCTTCTTCTGGCTGTTCTCCTTGTTTTTCTTTTCCTTCCTTCCACTTCTCATTCTGTTCGAGGCCGTCTTTGGTCACACTGTCAGCCGCCGACATCCGTATCAGTCTTTACACTCCAGATAGCGCAATCTTTTTGCTGTATTATCTATCTTCTTGTAAAACTTCCAATAAGACCCGAAGAATTTTTTTCCTATGAAAACTGTTGCTTTTATACCGAAGATCGCCACTTGCCATTCAACGATCTTAACCGAGCCTATCAAAGGTTTAGATTCGTAGAGGTATTGGACGGTCCGCGCTGTAACTGATTCGTATAAAATTTGCATCACATTCCAGGCAACCCTTGCCAGTGCCAGTAATAGTGGTCGTGCATCGTAGGTAGATCTTTGAGGAGATCTCACCTCGGCACCTCCGCAAAACTTACGGACACGAACGTAAAGAAACGAAAAGAAAAGGAAGGGAAAGAACAGCGGAGGAGAGGAAGACATGGAAGAAGAAGAAGAAGAAGAAGAAGAAGAAGACGACGACTAACCAGAGCATGGAGAAGAAAAGAGAAAGAGAAGAAGAAGGAGGTAGAACAAGAGCCGCGGACCTTTTCGAGTCCTTCCAATTCTCTCGTGACCATAAAGGTTTTGTTGCAGCCGGATCGCCGTCGAGTCGAACGGTAAATCAAGATGGTTGCTTTACGTAATGGAGTTGCACCGGCCACATCTTAATTAGGAAAAATCTGGAAGCACATCCGTTTCCAGCTCGCCGATGTTAGGTGGAGTTAAGGCGCCCATTGCATTCTCATTAACCGTCTGCTTTTGAATACATTCTATACACCGCACAGCGAATCGCTCGTTACACTATTTATCTTGAGCCTCTGTTTCGTAGAAAACAGACTCGTGGTCGTAATAACACGACCACATGCGTGATACCTGTTGTGGAATCTATCAGCTACCTTTTCAACGCTATGAAAAATATGCTATTAAACGTTGTTCGTTCAACACTCTCCCTTGAAATATCATTATCGGGCTACGAATTTTTATGTAACTTCATATTTTTTTTACGAATACGTCTATAGAAATGGAATTTAAATACTGTCCTACTGATTTATTTCGTTTATTATTCCACTTTGCGTTTTATTTTATATAGTTTTACATGTTACGAATCGTAGATACTCTTTTTATACATTTGACTCTTTCGTAGATCCGTTCTCGAAAAATCTGTGCAAATGGGAGCCACGTAGAAAAGGATATCAAGTGTATATCTCACGACAAGTTTATCACGGTGAGATAAAACAGTAACTTCGTTCCGAGGTAAGGAAAAATTAATAAGTTCGCTAGCATCGATTCATGTACATTCGTACTTATATTCATACCTATAACCACGATGGAGATCGCGATCGTTCATTGTCGAAAATTTTCCGAATTCTTTGCAGGTTAGTCCGATAATCGTGGTCGCTGGTTTTCACCCTACGGGGATGCCAAGATGAACGTTGATCCAAATTTACGTGAGATATTCAATTACGACTATTAGCCAACTATTTGCGAAACATCGTGATGACTTCCGAGATAGGTGGCGAGGCCTCGTGTCTCCAGCGTCTTCATCAAGAAGTACGAAATACAACAATCCCTTTCTACTTAACCCTTATACCATTTACTGTATTTCCGTGTAGGCTTTTAATTGTTTAGAAACATTTCCAAACAAGATCATCGAATTGAATAACTTCGTCAACGAGTACATGCCGGAATCTGTTAGAAATAATAAATTCAACGAACCTGCGATCGATCGGGAAGTCAAGTGCCAATCTACGCTTTCCACCGCGAAAAATTGCGACCTAAGTAGCATCTCAGACTTCGGCGGTAATTATTAACTCTTAAAGGCTGTCACGGGTGAAAATTCATTTCGATCGAGAAATTAACCAGGTTTAACCAAATGGAATCGAATCTTTTATCGTTGTTCGCGATACTACGCGAAGAGTAAACAACATCGTCGTTTTCGGTGGTATTATTACACGATTGATAGTACTAAAACGAAATTCGCACGGGGTGAAATTTTACTCGTGATAGCCTTTAAGGGTTGATGAAAATACAAGTCACGTGTACGCGCGTAATGGACTTTTGCGCCGATTCCCGCAGTTTCCAGTTACTACTCTCTCTCGATGTGCGATCGCAATCGATCGCGACATGGAATCTGTAAAAGAAAATACTATCGATCGCGAGGTATAACAGGTTGTAACGTACGTCGAAGACCTGGACCGCTTGGACAACTTTTAGCATTTATAGTCAGCAGCTTGACGACATGTACAAAGAAAATCGTCGTTACTCCGTCACAGTACATCATGGACAACATAATTCCAACATTCTTTCAAAAGTAGGTACAAACGAGAAGTACTAGAAATTAAGCGGAAAGAGCAAACTAAAGGATACTTTTTTTTTTATAAAGGCGAGAGTTGAAAAACGCACAATGTGGACCGCCGAATTGGAATAGCTCTCTTTCGACTTACGTGACTACGGTAAAAAAAGACACCACGATTATTGGGAAACTTATCGATATCATGAGACCTGCTGTAGTAAAACTCATTAACGACACTACGACCGTAAGGATTCTCATAAATTCCTTGCACTTGCAATTACGCGTTTCCTTTTCTCTCTCTTTCTCTCTCTCTCTGTCTCTTCGATGAAACAAAATGTGTACAAATCTACTTCAGTTGAAACGCTGGCTACAAGCAATTGCTTTGACCGCTACATCGCCTCCGATCGAACTAACGAATGCAACTCGTAACACTGAAACCATCGACTGTTGGGCTTACGAGCTGTTCTTTCATCTCAAGTACCTTCAAGTGAATCGCGGACGACGGACCACCGACAAAGTAATCCTTACAGTTAATTGTAACTCTTGCCTACCTCTGCCGCGATATAGCGAAGAACGCGTTAATTTCGCTTTCGAATCAACGCGATCGTAACAACGATTTTCAATTGCACTTTCAACCTTGTTAATGAAACTCTCGCTGTTCCGTTAGGTAATGGCCGAGGCGGAGTCGAAACCTAACGATGTGATTCACGCTAACTTATGGCACCGATTAGTTCAGCTCCGCGATAATTACATTATTCTGTACGAGACTTTAAAGAACTACGATAAAATTCGCGATCTCGATTCGGAGAAACGGCAAGAATAACAACGTAATGGCCAGTTACAGCGAATGTCGAGCGGAAGAAACACAGATTCGGTTTAATGCATCCACTAATTCCCTTCGGATAAGCGATTTAGACATTTCGCTCTGTATAGTTTTCCAAAGAACATTAATGCAAACTGTACAGCAGGTTTAACTCGAATAGAAGGTCCGTCGGTCGAACCTCTCGCCCGTTTGTTTCGACACGATTCAGCTGACATGGCACGCTATTGTAGCTAACATTTAAACTTCGTGCCAAGGAAGGGAACGCAGGCGCAGGCTACGGAATTTTTACTTCGCCGAGATTGCACCACCCGACCTGCAGTCACCATTCGCTCCATCGACTTTTTTCCACCGAGTAATAGCGTAACCTACTTCACCAGATAAAACGTCAAACACTTTTTACGACCAAGTAATACTATCGAACGTTAATATCTAGGATCTAGCCCGGCTTATAGCGAGACCGATATCGGTGCAATTTCGATCGTACAAATTTTAATAGCGATGGATTTCGCAATAGAAACGTTTTTTTTTTTTTTTTTAGTCGTCGAACAAAGATTGTTTGCGAAACGTATAGGGATACAGAGGATCAGCGTTACGGTGTTTCCAGTGAAACGAGTTTACGAGGAACCAGCCATCGGACGCGATAGAATTATTAATCATTTACCGACAAACGCATGCTGCACGCGTCCATTTATGTTTTGGCGTTCTTCGATCGTTTCGTATTCAACTAACGTGAGCAACACTTGTCATACCATATAGGTTAATATCGTATTTAAAAATCCCTTTCTCGAATTACCATCTTATACATTTTTACGATGATAAATCGTCATATTATAACGGATGAAACGTAAATGGGGAAATAAAACGTGGCTAGTTGAGGGATATGCAGAATTCAAACACCGAGTCCATTCTTCTATTCCCACGATAAATGCAGCGGCAAATCTTTCTCTGGATAGAGGGAGTGTCAGTGCACATCATGGTAACTGGTATAGTCGTATACAGCTATAGAACGGTATCGCAAAAGAGATTGTGTTGCTTCTAGATATTGTTGAGACGGTATAAAATTCACAAGAAAAGGAATTATATCATAGTCTAACTGGAGCCGATAAAAGATGTTTTAAAACGTTTAAAAAACTACGTTTACCGTACGATATCTCGTAGAGAAACGTTCGGTGCGGATACTTTTGTTCGTCACTGTACTTTTCATCTTCGTGATCGGCTGGTGCTCCTATAATCTAACTACGAATCATTAGACGTGGTGTCATAAAGCAACGCTCATGGACGTTATTACGCCATTAATGTCGAAATGCTGACAGTACCTCACGGTATTAAATTCTTACGACCGTTAAGCAGTTATAAATCGAAATTATTTGTTATTCGTTAAGAAGAGGATGGAATCGGTAATTTGTAAGAACATTTCCTTTCGTTCTCTTTGCTTGCAAATAGAAAATGTCAGGAAGGGAATACATCTAAGAACGGTTTTCCCATTTAAGCCGATGTGTTAGATATCCGTCAGTACATCTAGGCAAAGGTAAGAGCGTTAAACGAGTACCGACCCCAACTAACCTATGATCTTGGTTGATAGTTGATCGGGAGTTAAGCTTCGCTCCATCCATAACAGCTTCGAACGAAATCCCTCGTGTGGCTCCATCGTGCGAACGAACGGTAGTCACGACTCTGATTACGTAGCGTGTAAAACACCAAGGAGCCGTACGAGAGGAAAAATAAGCGGACAGAAAGAGAAGGATCATCGAAGGAACGAGAAAACTAGATAAGAGATAAAACAAAATTTATATCCTACGAGATAAGCTATAATTAAATTCATTTCGATTTGGATTTTTACTTTATTATATTATCTATTAAATATACCTTATATCGGGTTTTTCTTGCAAACCTATAATTATTATATTCCTCGACGTTATAATTTTGTCTAGAAAAAGTTTCGAGGCGTTTGATATTAAAATGAGAACGTACATCGCGAATAGAATCGAAGCGCAAATTTGAAAGATCGGTCGAAGAGGAAGAGAAGCGTCGTTGAATCTAAGGAAAAGCACAAAGATCGTGGTCATGAGATCATAGAGAGACGGGACTACCGAGATCCAGAGGGACCGTTAGAGTTAACGATGAGTTCGCTTCCCTTCTCTCCCTCTTTGCGATCTTTCCGCTTCGCAATTCTACGAGTGGATATATCCGCGATACCGCGGTAGCTCGTGGAGGCGGTTAACAAGACGAACAATCTCTCTAGGAAGACGACAATCGCAACGGGAAAAGACGATTGCATAATTTACTCCGAATTTCGCCATGTTCGATAAAATCCAGTTCCGTACTTTAGGATGAAAAAAGTTTTTTCTATTTCCAACCTGTATACACTGGATTGCTATCGTTCGCAGAAGATCTCCGTGGAAAGGATTCCAACGATCGTTTCTCTCGTTACAACGCGAACTTCGAAGACCGATGCATTCCTTTTTAAGATTTACGGTACGAGATAGAAACAAGTACAAGATAAATCGGTTAAAAAAATTGTTCGTTTCTCGGTTGGACTTGAAACGAGCAAATTGTAAAGTCGAAGGTAAATCATATTCCCGCCGCGAATACGCGGAAGTACTGAGACGTCTCTCGCGTAGTTTGACTAATGTTATTATAGAAAAATGTTATTAATAAATTTTTTTCATTAACGTTTCTTTAAAAATATAGTCTGGTATTGAATTATCTAATATCAGTGATATAATACTTAAGAACACGATTGCACTTTATCGTTACGATATCAAATCGAACCGTTTATCAGACCTATATATATATATATATCAATTAAAACGCACGTATCGCTAAATACACTCAAGTCGTTGTATGCAACATATAATTTTGAACTGTACTATCGTTCTCAGAATGACAAGAATTGAGTGTCTCTGAATGCTGGAACGCTGCTTTAAATCAAGATTTGTGGCACGGTAGAAAGGAAAATGATTTTATAATAATCATCAAAGCTGTACGCTTTATCTGTTGTATCCGTTTTTTACCATCTGGTAAAACAGAATCGTGGGTGTGTTCCATGAGCATGCTACTCGGAAACAATGTGACATTATGGTAAATGACTGAGACCATTGTTGTCAAGGAACGTTTACTACGTATACGTATATTGTTCTATTCCATCCAATATAATCGAGTGTTTCCGAGAGTGGACCAAGTTTTACATTCGGGGCAATGGTAATCACGAACGAAAAAGACGAATCTCGACCAATGCCTATATTTTCTAAATTGATGATGAAAATCTGTCGACTTTTCTCCGAAGAACGGAATAATTTATAATCCAGGAAAACACGCGTGGATCTAGAATTTCAGTCGAGTATCTAACCACATTCGCGTGTCTTCGTTTACCGCGTTATACGCAAGAGCGGTCACCGAGAGATACGTATAGATTGTCCTCAACGCGCGCCAAACACCCTAACATCGATCCATGAAAATATAAATCAGAGCAGTGCATTCGTCGCTGAGGCTACGACGAGTTTTCTACTCTTACGTAATTCGTGTTTATTGCGTGATCGATTTTACGATCATAAACGATATTATCCGAGTTGATAGAATTTGTGAAATAAAACAAGTATAATTAGAGTAAATATAGATGAGATGACGCATTTCGGACATCGGTATTTCAAACGTAAAAGGGAAAAGCAACGGCTCCATTGCCTTTACACGAGGACCGTATATAAGATAAACGTGATAAATCCATCTTGTTGCAAGAACGAAGGAGAAGACAGCCTGTTACATTTAAAGACAACGAAAGTTCTTACCCTGGTTAAAAAACGAAAGTTCTGTATATTTCTTTGCTGCTCGCGATACCTGAGTTTATGGATATATCAGGTTCTTAACCTTTTTCCCAGCACCCGAGCGTAAAAAACATCTATAAAGTTAATGGTCGTTTAATGCTCGTTGTTAAATATACACGGATCACGGTACAGGAATTACGCTTAGTTACGAACGATTAGAAAGTTCATTGCAGAAAAATATTGCTCGTGTTACGATTAGATACTACCATTATTATTATTGTTGTTGATGATATTATTATTGTCATCATTATCATCATCATCATCATCGGTATTATTATAGCGGATCTCAGCAGCTATCAAAAAGTTGATGAAGGTATCCATGCGGTAAGCCGCAGAGTACCGTGAGCTCCGACTACTCATTAACAACGTATATCAGTATGTAGTCGTAATGTGACGTGATGCAACCTGAACTTATCGAAACGATGTGTCGTAATCCTAGTCTCATAAAATTTCTTCTGAAAGCCCCGGTTTTTTAAAAATCTCGATCGAAAATTGCTTGCTAGAAAGTAATTTTATCGCGCGGTAAATACTACAACATGACGATTTCGTTCATATTATTTCGATATTCGTTATGTTTTTCTATAGTTCGTTATCTAACGAATGATACGGTTGATGGTAATTATTGTTCTCCGTAAAGCAGCACCAGTATCAAGGCAAGAAACGCATCCCGTTACAAAGATCTCATTAACGTAGTTGGTCTATAGCCGCAGAAGTATTACGATTGAAAACTGGTCATGAAACGCGACACTTTCCACGTTACCAAAGATATTGTGTAACCATGGCTGTATATTTCGCTAAATGTTCATGGAGAATCGAATATCTCGTGATCACGCGGCGGCTTTAGTCCCTGGGCGAGATATGGTTCCTCGTAAGAAATTATAATTCGCGAATCAGCCGCGAATATTGATAAACCGATGTGTTTGACGGTTTCCACCCCGAGTAAATCCCGAAAACCCCGAAGCCAACGTCGCCTATCTACTGTTTATGGTCTGCCCTCGTCGCAATCTTTTGTCTACACGCTGTCAATGGCTTCAGTGCTTGAGAAAACTAAAAAGACCAGATGTAGAGTTTTCTTAGAAGTGGTGACCACTTCAACACTATATAACTAGTTTCTAAGTCCACGATTATCTAATAATTTCTCGTGATAAACTCGCTTAAATATGACGTCTCCAAACGAGAATATCAGCTCGCGTTAAGTGCAAGTTTACGAGATACAAAACGCCTCTTCTTACCGTGAAACTACCGGATTTCCAACTTAGCATACTCGCAGCATTGTTCATATTTACATTTAAATCTGCACAATTACGGTTGTCCATGCATCTTGGCCATTATACAAAGATATTGCCTAGACATTCTAAAATAAGCACGCGTGAATCCCTGCCGCGATATAGCGAAGAGCCGAGTGGAATATGCGATTATGCAAAATTGGTATTCGCGGTGGGGTTCCTTGTGTTGATCTTAAATTACGCGAGTTCTTGACGGAGGGACACCCATGACTATCATAATTTATAATTATTCTTGAATGTTTTTACCGTGCACGAAAAGATGAAAGATTTCAGGACAGAACGTTATAAACGACGAATCCTCGACGTCACAATACGCTTATTATTTCATTTTTAACATTCAGCTTGTTTACAACGTCGCATCGCTATTACAAATGCAACAGGCGTCTCGCAGCGGAATATTTTATACCTTGTTTGCTACCAACTCCGATAGTCGTGCAGAATTTTGAAGAAGAAAACGATGATTTAATCATTTTCCATTAAATTGTCCAATAAGTTCGCGTCGTTTATTCCTCTGCTAATTAAAAGTTTAATTTTCTCAACACTTAAGAAAAACGAACTAACGAAGAAACGGAGCATCTGACACTTGCGACTTTATCCTAAAATTTGAACCGAAGCGAAATATGTGAAAATAGAAGTATGCACGTATAACTGGATACAAGTGCCTCGAGTGGCAACGCGTAGTTCTCTTCTCAGCCCTCACGTATCGTCAAGTTCAAGGATGCCTCCGAGGTCTAGGTTCACTAAAGACAGCCGCGCTCTGCTGCATGAAAGAAAGAGATTCTTCTCTTTCAGTTCCACTCTCGTATCTAAGGATTCGAGCAGCGATGCCTCGAGCAGATACGCACATTGTTTTAAAAGTGCATGGTACATTGCCTCGCTATGTACGTATTAAACGATGAAACGTGTTTCGGTAAAGGCAAGGCCGCGGTAAGAATTCTTTTCCAAGATGTTTGCTAGAATTTTTCTAAAAGTCACGATTCCAAGTATTACGGTTAAAAACGGTGTAGAAATTTATTCGAAATGCCTCTGCATAGAATCAAATGTAAATTCGTTTGAAACCGAAGTTCAATATCGAAGAAAAAACAGACTTTTTAATTTCTAAAAGTTCGCAAAACAAGGAATTAAGTTCAAACGTTTGGTGTATCGAAAAATAATTGAGACATCTCGATACATTGCATTTAACTTTAAATTCCACGACTATGATTTCTATAGTGGTGGAAACATCGAAAGCATGCGTGTCAATCTAGGAGAAAAAGCCAATCTGGTTGCCACGGCATCGTAAACAAGCCACGCTTGGTGCGATTCCAACGCATGAACTATGCCTTTGCCCTTAAAAGCTCCTGGCAACAATGCTCTCGCCTTGGCCCAAGAAGCAGGATCTCTGCGGAGGATCGTAGAGGCGCCAATGGCGGTGATGTAGGTGGATCTGAATGCACCATAGAAAGAGGGAGGTAAATAGTGAAAGGAGAAAAGAGAGAAAACTAGTGGACGATCTGCGAGGTTAGGCGCAGTCGCGGTGCAAAGTCACTGCACTCCTATGCCCCGTTGCGCACCGCTGAGAGAGCTCCACGCGAGCAGCCGTATTGCCGCGAGAGTACAGCCGGTTTGCTGGCTCGAGGTATTTTTCATTGACAATGAGAGAAAATAGGATATACATACCCCGTCCGCTAATACCGACGGGGTAAAAAGTTCGCTCG